TTCAGGATTAACTTTTATTCACTAGAAAATAATGTAACTAATGCATAGTAGAATTATTTCAAACCATTTCATTTATTTTTTTCTTCTTTCTTCTAGCATATCCCAATTGTTCAGGCTCATCCTCAGAAAATTGATTCAAGATGTTCCACATTGTTTCTTCTTGTAGGAAGGTTCACGCTCAAGTGAACATCTTGTACTCAATACCTTTAGGTTTTATTTGTAGAAAAATGTCAGTTTTGCATTTAAGAAGACGATAATGTGACTTTATTGGCTTAACGAAAGGTAAGGGTATGACTTTTTGTGTCTCGAAAAAGATAAAGGCAATATTTCCAAGTCTCAAAGAGAGGTAATGTCAAAATTTAGTCTTTTGATAGTGACCATGAATTATTCCAGGTAAAAAAAATTGAGTGATCTTATTTTTGGCTTTGGACTGGATAAGAAATGTCTAATCTTGCCATATGTTAAAAATCTATAATTATTGAAGAATTAAAAGAATCTGTAATTCAATCGATATTCAAAGAACTACAAGATTAAAACTTGTTTCATTGTTCATAGCCTTAGAAGGTAACACAAGTTCAATCATCAAACAATTTACAAAATATTTAAGCAAATATTAAAGGAAAAAAAAAACGAGTTCAAAAAAATAATGATGTTAATGCAAGTGCAAAAAAGCTTCATGATAGATGCAAAGATCTCTTCTTGATTATTATCAGAATGCCCCATCATTCATCGAACGTCCATACCCCCAAATCAATCAGATTATGGATATTTCGCTTTAATGCCCCACAATTCTTAGTAGAATGCCCTGAACTTCCTAATATGTTTGCATTCTTTGCAAATTCTTTTTCAATTCTTTCTTCAACTTTTCGAATTTTGCCTCCATTATGTCATGTGATTATGACAACTGTCATCGAATTATCCATGAATTATTCCCCACATTTTCATGAATGATGCATGTGAAAATGCTTAAATAAATAAAATACATATGTGAAATGCAAAGACGTAAATGCAGATACAAAAAATGTTGATCCCGACGACTACAATAGAACAATTTTCATCAGAGATAAAAGTCTTCACGTTACAAGATAGTCCATTATACATACATGATTTAGTCTAGACGTTGAGTTTGAAAGGGGTCGATGCTTCATCTCAGAACTTCATCCTTGAAAATTATGCCCCTCAAACACTCTGTAACCTAACTCAGTTAATGCCTATGCGGTACTGAAGTCACATATCACTCCTTGGTGATTAGCGATGGAACAATCATAGATAAAACTCTATTACTGAATTACTTTTCTGATCAATGTATCATATTTCTAGTCTCAAATGTTGCATAATCTTCGAGCAAGTTTTATTCTTGTACTCTCTGAACTTCTTTTAACATTTGGTGCATGTCTGTATACGCGACTGCTTGATTGAAAACTTTTATGTCTCCTTGTGAAAATTTTCATTTAAATATCCTCTTGTGGATCAACATCTTCGCATTATGTCATTCGATGAAATTCAATGTAAAAAATGTGAAAATGTACACAAAAAAAGAAATGAGTTAGTACATGCAAGATAATCAACAGAATTAAAAGATATTATTTAAAGATAAATATAACACCTACCAAATTAGGATATCTACTCAAGCATGCTTTTATTAAACATCAATCCTATCCGGACATGCTTTCTACCCAAAATGATTTATTTCAAGAAATTAATCATATTTGCATGGTATCTAATTCATAGCTTTCAAAAGAACTATTTTCTATGAATTTAAAGCAAAATGTAAAGGTTTAGAGTCGTTCCTCCTTCGTGTACACATATTTTTGTACCTACTAGCAGACAGAGGTTATGTATGGCTCTACCTAGGGTGATTATTCTATGGTTCACTATATGTATGGTTTCGGCTCTAATAGGAAAAGGTACTTGAATTGTCATTGTTGTCAGTGACCATTGGGCTGCCAAGCCCTCAATCTTCACCTATTATAGGCTTAAACGGATCGAGTTCAATTCGAGGGGATTCACTTCTTTATACCCATACGAGGAATAAATCCCTACGAAGGTATAAGGCATGTGTACCCCAGAGGTTATTTTCTAAGGCTTATACGAAGAATAAATTCTTACGAGAACAAAGCGTTCACCCTTACTTAATTGGGACGAAGCTCGAGTATAGAGCTTATGTCATGCAAATGCACATGAGGTGTGTGAGGAGGAACACACAAACCTTCGACCAAACAACAACAACAACAACAAAAATAAAATGAGAATGGTGAAGCTGAAAACATGAATTTGAACAGTAGCACAGCTATATACATAAAGAATGTATAGTAATGCAAAATTTCAATAAAAGAATCATAAGCTAACTATAGACACGAACTCATAATTTGTACCACTATGACAATGTACATGCGACTTACACCCCGACTCTCTAAAGTGTCCCCATCAGAATCACCAAGATATCGTAATGTCTTTTTTGACAAAAAAGTAAGTTTTCGATGAAAACCCTAAATTACGACTTATTTGAAAAAATTGAATTTTGTGTTTATTTTGATTAAATTGATTTGGAGTCGTCATCGACCATTAGGTTAGGTAGGTCGAATACCTAAAAATATCTTTTAAACAATTCAAAAAAAATCATTTAAAAGACAAAAATTGGTATGCACTTACTAAAAATTCATTTTTTAAGGATTTGAGAGTCGATTATGTGTGGGAAAGGATTCACACCCCCACAACGCCCAAATATGGTACCTAATCGCTTATACATTGTCGTAAATTGTAGATATCGTGAATTTGTATCAATATTTAAAGTACGATCCTTTTATTGAACATAAAATAATATTTTTCGAATTAACTATCAGATAAAATTCTTTAACTTGAAAAAGAAATATTGAGATTCACAATCCTCCATTGAGAAAGCTATTTAATCTATTTCTTATCTGTAAAAGAATGTTCTCTCCTCGAAAAATATTAAATTGAATAAGAAATTAATATCATAACTTACATGAAATAATTCGTTACATTTTTTTCTAAAAGAAATAAATTATCAATACTTAAATTAAAATTTAAAATAGAATAAAAATAAAATAGAAATTTTACTATCATTTTAATAAATAAAAATGTTCAATTTATTTTAAGTTCATCCGATGTTTGAATGTCATATCGGATCACACTACTTCGATCGCGTAGTGCTTTCCACGTTCATTCTACAACAAATATTCTTGAAAATATTCGAATGAAACAATTAGAACAAATCAGTATCACTTATGTAAAATATATAGAGACATACTGACAAATAGGTATTTTGCACGTTAAAATGACATAAATAAATTTAGTAATATATTTGAATATATAAAGGTTAAATAATATTATAGCACGTGATATTTATATATCATGTGTTATAATATAATGTACATAATTAATAATAATACATACATACATACATGGTAAAATGCACAAAATGAAATTATGTAATAATCAAAAGAAAATGATAAGGACAAAAATAAAGCTAAACGATAAAGGACAAAATCACAAACAAGACAGAGTAATACAACTTAAACATGTAGTGAACCCAAGAAATCTCATTCAGAAACTAAATCAGTGACCAAACTGAACTCAAATCAAAATCTAAGATAAATATTTATTTTCTAAAATTGTACATACAAGGATCAAAATAACATGAATCATAAATCATAAGATAAACCAAATACATATTACAGGGCAGAAAATGATTAAAATGTAAATACTGAGAAATTCAAGGCTCGAATCAAAAGGAAATAATTTAAGTTAGTGACCAAAACATAACTCTTATAAAAAAGGAACCTTCCTCACGTAATTAACTCATGCGCTAAACATAGAGAGCCCTAGCACCCAAAATGGAACCATTTTACGTGCCAAATATATGGCCAAACCCAAAGCAAAAAGCGACAACCTCAAATGCCATATTCCCCTTTCTAAACTAAAAAAAAACATAAGGCTCTCTCCAATAGCCCATTCTCTCCCCGTCGCCGAGGAAGGCGATACCTACGAACCTCTCCGGCCACCGTAAATCGGTGGCTCCAGTGAGGGAAATGAAACTAAAACCACTCACCTCGAAACCTTGAGGCCCTAAAACAACTCCTTTTGACCCTTTTGCACCACAAACTCGAAGAATAGAGGGATTTGCCTCCGAAGAGGTGGTCGTTTCTACTCCGGTGACAGCGTGACAGTGACAAGCGAAAAAAAAGATGAGCATTTTTTGTTCAAAAATCGTCTCTTTCGAAATCCCTTCATTTTTTTCTTTCTTCTTTTTTGTTCGAATTTTTCGTTCGAATCCATTTTAATTCGGTTCAAAAATCTCCCTTGTTTTGCTTGTTGCCTGTTGATTTATGGTGACCTTTGGTTGATAATGTGTGTTATTTTCGTAGGGGAACGATTTCTCTATATTTGAGTAGATAAAATCCCCAATTTTTCGGGATTTAATTCAGTTGGTTTTTGACTGATTTGGGAGTATTTTGTCACTGTTTGGTCGAATTTGCTGACGACGGCGGCTTGGGAGTCATCGGCGGCGGCTCACGCGGCTGAGTAACCGAAGAGTGAAGCGCACGCATCACAAGCGCCGGTCAAGCGGTCAATCTTTGTTGGGCGACGGTGGCGGCTGTTGATCTGTTAGGGTTAAATTTGAATTACATCTATATGTTAGATCTAAACAGATCTGACGGTTAGAAAGTGATTGCGTAACAAGTTAGGGTGAAAGCCCTAATTCTTGACACATCTGGGCCGTTGATTTTCGCCAGGTTCGATGGTAGAGATCGCGCAGTGCTAGGCTTGGGTTGGAACCCTATCCATGTCTAAGTCACGCGGGTGGGCTTCGATTTGAGCTTCGGGTTGGACGTGTTGTTGGGCTTGAACCGAAATAGGTAGTTGCAAATGGGTCTGGGTTGGTTGTAATTGGGGCTTGACTTATAAAATTGGGCTACTGATTGATTCTTGTAATAGGGCTGTAAAATGTAATTAATAATAATAAACAATTAAACCCGGGAAAAAAAAAAACAATGTCTACAAACTGCATCGACGCCGCTCAACCTTTCGACTTCGAATCCCATCTCAAAAACCACTCTATTCGATCCACGTCCCTCAAGATTGCCATTGTCGGCTTCGGCAACTTCGGGCAGTTTCTCTCCAAAACCTTCCTCCGCCACCACCACACTATCCTCGCTCACTCCAGAACTAACTACGCTGACCTCGCAAACCAGCGTCTCCTTCTACTCCGACCCAAATAACATTTTCGAGCAACACCCTGTCGTCGTCCTTCTCTCTACTTCCATTCTTTCAACCGAAACTCTCCTTCTAAAACTACCCTTTCAAAGACTGCGCCGAAACACTCTTTTCGTCGACGTTCTTTCAGTGAAAGAGTTCCCCAGGAACCTTTTCCTGAAGTATTTACCTCTGGATTTCGATATCTTATGTACCCATCCCATGCTCGAACCCGAAAGTGGTAAAACGTCGTGGGCCGGGCTTCCTTTTGCTTACGACAAAGTGAGGATCGGGGACGAGGAGAGTCGAGTGAAGAGATGCGACAGGTTTTTGGGAATTTTCGAGAAAGAAGGATGTAGAATGGTGGAGATGAGTTGCATGGAGCATGATAACTACACGGCGGGGTCTCAGTTCGTGACTCATACAATGGGGAGACTGTTGGAGAAGTTCGGGTTAGAGTCTTCGCCTATTAACACCAAAGGGTACGAAACATTGTTGAATTTGGTGGAGAATACTAAAGGGGATAGCTTTGACTTGTATTATGGATTGTTTATGAATAACCAGAATGCTTTGGAGCAGTTGGAAAGGTTGAATATGGCATTCGAGTCTATTAAAAAGGATTTGTTTGGGAGGCTCCATCAGGTTTACAGGAAGCAATTGTTTGGGGATAACGTCGAGGTGGAGAAAAAGATGAGGTTTCCTCAGAAGTTGTTAGGCAATGGAAGTTTAATTGAATCTCTGTTGGATAATGTTAGACAAGATGGATCTTGAAGTAAAAAAAAATGTTTAAAAACAGAGCTGTTCTGTTCCCTATGGTACGAGTATCTATCGCTATTTGTCAAGATGTTAGCTTTGTGTTCTTTTCAATAATTTTAAATAAACTTAGCCTAGTTGTTGCTGCCTGCTTCAACCCGGTGAATTCACTTGTTTATTGTTTTGCAACCTGTCCAAGTGAATGTTTCAGGATTGGCAAGTTGCATTGGTAAATGCATAGTGGTCCCAATGAGGGAGGGCATTTGGGATATTGTTCCCTAATTATGAGAGTAGTGGGGCTTCAAATCTTTGGGGTAAGATTGAACCTCCTTTGGCTAACGTAAATGGAAGGCTGGATGGATCAAACAGAGTTATTTTCTTTTTTATTATATGAGAATTTAGCTACTTTTTACAGACAACCTGACACTTCCTCATACTGATATTCCTAGAAAACAGAAAAAAAGAAAATCATGCGTATTTGACAAACGGACACTTCTGCTATAGATATATTAACGGAAGACTTACGTTTTAACATTTGAATGCACATTTATTAACACTGCAACTATACAAGCAAAAACTTGCAGGTAGAATGAAAGCTTATGCTCAAGCATTTATATAAATAATAATAAGTGATATATAAGTGGCTTACTTCTGGCAATTTGATATGTAGATGTTCAGAAAGTTCATCAATAGATGTATTATCATCAACATCAAAAGTCCCATCTGCTCGCGTTACAAAATACCTGGTTTTCTTCCGGATCTCTTCTTGCGATAGCAGGAAAATTCATAGAAACATGAAAATGAAGTTCAAATAAATACTGCTTGATCTTCATTCCTCTGCATAGAGGACATTCGATGCTTACTTGAACATTATGCAAGTTTACATGTTTATCAGATCAATTTTCTTTTCAGTGTTGATATCAATGCCAGTTGACAGAATAAGTAATGCGTAGGCAACAACACTGAGTTCAGAGAAACTGTGTTTCTGCAGCTACAGAACTATAAAAAAAACGTTTAACTTCGTTTGTTGTTTCGTTCTAATGATTTAGTAGTATTTGATTGGAAGATTGATGATCAAAGCTTAAAGTCAAAAGATAAAATCTTTTGGTGCTTCAGCAACTCATCGAAACCAAAACTATCTTTGTTCCACTTGGAGTTTGAGCTCCAAATAGGAACAGTATATCAGAGGGGTGGCGGACAGAGGTTTTAAAATCAAAATTGAAAGCTTCATAAAATAAAGCAGGAGAAATGAGAGAAAACGTGATAGAAAAGTGTGTAATTTGGCAGAAGAGTGGAGAATTGCTGGCCCAAAGGCCTAAGGAGTAGAAATTGAAGAATAAAACAATCCTACATGGTTACGAAACATAAAAGAGCATCCCGACCGACTTCCATAAATAAAAAAGCTAATTTAAAATGTAGAATCACGGAGCCGTGTGGTGAGCACAAAACGAATTATTCTTTCGCCTTTTACTAAAGAATATCGTGTGCTCTCCACTCAAAGCGGCATACACCTATTTTTGGAAGGGTGTTCCTCAGTCGATTGCCCACATCCCAATCCTAGTTCCAAAGATTGTGTGAGACTTTAATATATTTTTGGGTAGATCTGTTGTATAAGAAACCTCAACCATTTCAGTGTTGGTGGTACTTGATTCCTTCGATTCAACAGCTCTCACTGATAGTTAAAAGAGTCGTTGGAAGATAGTGCTAATGTGTCATCCCCTCCCTATAATCAAACTATTTACATCTTCGGGGTTGATTTGGTAAGCACTTCATGACCCATATGGTCCATGGACTGATATTACTATTTATCCCAGCATGGCACGGGCCATATAATCAGCAATTTGGATTTCTGAGAAGAGAGGTGCAAGTGCTGAAATGTGGTTTAACTGTTTAAGAAACCTGTACTAATGGTTATTATTATATAATGATGCTAAAGCTTTTCTTAATGGCTAGCTTGGAATCAATGTTGGAAAAAAAAGGTATTCCTGTTTGTATTACTTCTACCATAATTTTCTGACATAGGTTGGATTTCACTTGTTGCTTTGTTTTTCTTCATATAATCTTATTTCGTGCAGGTTTTTAGAGCTCTGACCTAACAATGAAGGTCGGAGTACCTGTTGGTTATGCCAATAATTGTTATGGAGCTAATGACACTTACATCCCAGTTTTTTTCCCTTCTTTTCATTGCTTTGTCGAAACAAGTCCTTGTCGTCTGTAAAATGGTTCCGTATATCTTGGAAACTTAGCTGTTGAAGATTTCAAGCTTCCCTGCGTTGAACTGCTCCTTCACAAGGTGCAACTATTTGTGATAGCATTTTTATTCTTAGAACGTAAGTGGGAAACTGTATAGTTGAACAGTATATGAAGAAGATTGATGGTTTTTACCTGTACTTTATCTGATAAATCACTAAGTTTGTTTTGACCTCATTCTTACATAAATCACCCGAAATGCAGTCTAGACAGTGGGCCCTTCCCTTTCTGACTAGACTGACTCGGGGCCCCCACTTTGATTCCCGCCCCGTTAGCATCTCCGATCCGAGATAAGGGATTACTTCGTTAAGTCTTTTCCGTCCGGAGTCGGCCGCTAATGGACCTACTTACCTTGCTTGTGGACCAGCTGTGGAGCTAACCCTTGTTCTATTGGTTTGGTGGTTGCTACCAAGACGATTTCTTTTAAAAGTTTAAACGCAGGAATTTTATGTATGGTTAGCCGAAGCGGAAGTAGGGATGAATGCAGAATTTTATATCAAGGTGGTGTATTTATAAAATTTTAAAGGAGAGTAAACTTATAAAATCTTAGGGAAAAGCGGAGTATATTTACCCAATTATTTAAGTTCTTATCTAGTTTTTTATGTTTTTTAAAGAAAAAGATATAAACCTGATTTAACAGATTTGTAATCATGCAATATGTGAATCCGAATATCAAATAAGTGAATTCAGATTTAGATAGTTCCGACCAAAAAACTTCCTGTTGAATGAAACTGATGCGGTTGCAATGAAGGGAAAGTGTTGGAAGAGAGTGACATTCTCCATGAAAGTGCCTAGCAACTTCTCGATAACTTATGTCCAACTCTTTCTCGAAACTCCAACAGCAGAAACCGATCATTTCGTATGCAAACTTAAAAGGAGTTCGTTTAAACTAAGCTTGTGAGTTGTGACTGCAGGGCCCCAAACTCTCTTAGAAGCAAAGCGAGAAAGGGGCAAGCATTCCTTTGCAAATGGTGTCACTGTCGCTGGGCATATCTTTCTCAGGTAAGGAACCATCGTTTTAACTGCCGCCATTTCCAGTAGTTCGACTGCAAGAACCAGTCTATCCCCAAACTTTTTTTTCTCTAACCTATATGTTTTTGGTTTTCAGGATTGCTCCATTTTATGCTTGATCATTTCGCGGAAAGTGTTGTTTTGGTCCTTTCGCAATTGATAGCTTCCGATGTGTTTGAAACTCGGAGTCTCGATTCTCTGAAGCTTCTCAGAGAAGTTCCACCTATGAAGATGATAGAACTTGCTTCATCTGAGATGAAATTAGATTCAGAATTCAAGAATTTCAAGGCAGTGTGCAGTAGAAGTGAACATGCAAGAAAGATTGATGTCTCAGCAGATTCTATCAAGAAACAAGAACACTTATTTTTCAGTTTTCAGAACGAAGGGGCTTCTTCGAATTCAAAACAGGCACTGGATCAATCTGGATTGATAGTAAGTAATCCAAGAAAAAGGGTTTGCAGCAATTTTTGTGAAGGTGAGCCGGCTTTGCAAGCTAGTGAAGCTGAAGACCTGAATACAAGATTGCAGAGACTTGAGGAAGAAAGTGAAGTTATGAAGCAAGCATTCTTAGAGATTGTGGTGGAAAGGAAAAGACTAATTAATGAAATCTGTCAGCTGTTTGAAACACTGCACTACACCATCCTCAATAAGGATAAAGATGGCTATGGAACTTTGGTCACCAAACCTTCTAGGGTATTCCAGTTTGAGCCCTAGATGTTAAGGAATAAAATTTCATAGCATTGAACCCGACACATAACCGAGCTGGTTCATGCAACCATCATGAAGAAGTACTATCCTATAAAGTCAAATCCCAGCATTTACAACCCCCAAGGTCCTTTTTCCATTGTACCAAAAAAGAATTTCTTATTTTCACAATGAGTAATAAAGCAGCATAAGGCATATAAATTCAGATTAAATATTTTTTTTATAGGAATTGAAAGCCTCGTTAAAAATTCTTTCTTGATTAAAGGAGTTTATAGAGAAACTCCTTAATCAGCGGAATGAGGAAAATAGTGTCTTAAGATTTCATTAATCGTAAGAAAATACAAGATACATCCAGAAAGCCACCCCCAACATAAACATAACACCAAAAACAATCGAAAACAACCCTAAACAACAACACTATCTCAACCTAATTCAACTTTGCTACAACAACAGCCTGTAAAAAGACTGACCAGACTTAAAGCCTGAACTTGGCCCGAAAGCACCACAAAACAAGACAACTATAATAGAAGCCAAATATCAACTGACTCAATCCATAGAAGCCAAAGTCTAACACAAAAGCCATGAGCTTCCACATGATAAGAGTGTAGAGAAGTAAGCTTCGAAAACACTATCCGTCTTTTGCCACTTAATGCTCGTCTTGTCGTCGGGGACCATCCGAACCTCCAACTCCCAAATCAATGATCATATGCGAGTCACCTTCCAAAACTTCCACTGCTGTAATTTTTCGAAATCAGAACCACTACTGAGCCTTTAGACTCTCTACCCAAATCTCTCCCGATCTGTAAGGATTCTGTCGCTTCCTTCTTTTGACACTGTCCCAATGCTGGAAAGTCAAAATCATAAAGGAATCTGCCTTCAAGATCAAACAGTTCTTCCTCGCGTTGCATCTTCTTCTAAATAAACTTGCTTTGGCAGTAACTAGTCTTCCTTTGGGGAGCTGAAAATTTCTTTTTAAATGTTTGGAGAGAGCTAAATTTATTGAAATTCCCCTCCTTTGCTCTCTGGTTTTGCCTAGAATTGTACAAGAATAAATCGTCCCTCAATTTTCGTGCACCACCTTTGATGTGCAAATCTATTAAATAATCCTTCATTCCCTTATTATCACGTGCATTCTTACAACAATTTCTGTTATCAACTTCTGCCTCTCTCTCCGCATGATCC